GGAGATGATGGCTGTTTGCAGCTGGTCACACCCCCTTCAGGTTGACGGTCCCCACTGGGGTGCCTGGCAAGTCTGGGTGAGGGGCTGAGGGCTGTTTTCAGGCTGACTGAAGCTCCCCACTACCTTTTTTTCTCTTTTTTTTTATTCTGGGCCAACTTTAGCTCTGGCTCCAGCTCTGAGGCCTCTGCTGCTGAAAGAAGGTATCTGGTTTGTTTCGGTCCTATAATCGAAACAATGTATAACTCCAGCTCTGAGATCCCGGGCTCGCTGAAAGCAGGTTTCTGGGGTTTTGTTTAGCTTCTATATTTGTAACAATGTTTCTTAAACTGCAAGCTCAGAGGCCGGCAGCAAGCTCAGAGGCCGGCAAGGCAGGCAGGGAATGCTGGAGTCCTCCATCTCTGAAGCAAGCAAGCCTCATGTTAGTTTCAAGCTGCCTGGTTGCCGGCCATCTTGGCTGGCAGTTAATTTGCATATCTCGCTGATTAGCCAATGGGAAGGGTAGCGGTCGTATGCCAATTACCATGTTTCTCTTTTATTAGATAGGATATATGGATTTCAGTGAGGAAAGAAAAGCTAAAAACATCCACACTCCACAGTGGGGATCGAGCCCGATACCTGAGCATGGGTCCTGACCGGGAATCAAACTTTGACCTCCTAGTTCATAGGTTGACTCTACCAGTGAGCCACACCAGCCTAGCATTTTGCTAACATAAACCTCACAGGCCCTCTGCTTCCTTTTGAGCACAGCTAACAGCACCAGAAAGGAACAATAAAAAGGCAAACATGAAAAGTTCAATTAAGGCTCAAGACCGGATGCCCTCACTTCTCTGCCCTGCTCCCAGGCCTTGCTCATCAGACCCCATCCCCACCCCAGAATTTCAGAATTTAGGGGTCTTGGCTTCGTTCACAGAAGGCCTCTGGGTCCCCTAAGCATTTTACTCTCCCCTGGTGTCCCCTGGTGCCCGGCCCAGAGGGAGCCCGCCACAGGTGAGCTGTCACTATGGGACGGCCCAGGTAGGCAGAGCCCCATCCGTCCTCTCCTAGACAACCTCCATCCTCTTCCTAAGTCAGCCCCTTCCTAAAAAAAATACAGCACCCCCAAGGCTGACATGTTCCCAACAAAATGTGACTCCAGAACCCTGAGGATGGCAAACTAACACCTCAATGTCAACCCAAGGGCATTAAAAATTTATTG